GTTGAAAGACCTTAATGTGAGACAGGAGTCCATCAACATCCTAAAGGAGAACACAGGCAGCAACCTCTTTGACCTCAGCCGCAGCAACTTCTTCCTAGAAACATCGCCAAAGGCAAGGGAAGCAAGGGCAAAAATGAACTATTGGGACTTCATCAAGATAAAAAGCTTTTGCAAAGCAAAGGAAACAGTCAACAAAACCAAAAGACAACCGACAGAATGGGAGAAGATATTTGCAAATGACATATCAGATAAAGGACTGGTATCCAAAATCTATAAAGAACTCATCAAACTCAACACCCAAAGAACAAAGAATCCAATCAATAAATGGGCAGAAGACATGAACAGACATTTTTCCAAAGAAGACATCCAAATGGCCAACAGACACATGAAAAAGTGCTCAATATCACTCGGCATCAGGGAAATCCAAATCAAAACCTCAATGAGATACCACCTCACACCAGTCAGAATGGCTAAAATTAACAAGTCAGGAAACGACAGATGTTGGCGGGGATGCAGAGAAAGGGGAACCCTCCTACACTGTTGGTGGGAATGCAAGCTGGTGCAGCCACTCTGGAAAACACTATGGAGGTTCCTCAAAAAGTTGAAAATAGAGCTACCATATGATCCAGCAATTGCACTACTGGGTATTTACCCCAAAGATACAAATGTAGGGATCCGAAAGGGTACGTGCACCCCGATGTTTATAGCAGCAATGTCCACAATAGCCAAACTGTGGAAAGAGCCAAGATGTCCATCGACAGATGAATGGATAAAGAAGATGTGGTATATATATACAATGGAATATTATGCAGCCATCAAAAGGAATGAGATCTTGCCATTTGCAACGATGTGGATGGAACTGGAGGGTATTATGTTGAGCGAAATAAGTCAAACAGAGAAAGACATGTATCATATGATCTCACTGATATGAGGAATTCTTAATCGCAGGAAACAAACTGAGGGTTGCTGGAGTGGGGGGTGGGGTGGGAGGGATGGGGTGACTGGGTGATAGACACTGGGGAGGGTATGTGCTGTAGTAAGTGCTGTGAATTGTGCAAGACTGTGGAATCACAGATCTGTACCTCTGAAACAAATAATGCAATATATGTTAAGGAAAAAAAAGAAGAAGAAGAAGGTAGCGGGAGGGGAAGAATGAAGCAGGGGAAATCGGAGGGGTAGACGAACCATGAGAGACGATGGACTCTGAAAAACAAACTGAGGGTTCTAGAGGGGAGGGGGGTGGGAGGATGGGTTAGCCTGGTGGTGGGTATGGAGGAGGGCACATTCTGCATGGAGCACTGGGTGTTATGCACAAACAATGAATCATGGAACACTACATCTAAAACTGATGATGTAATGTATGGGGATTAACATAAGAATAAAAAAAACTGCATGCTTTCTGCAGAGACTTAGAAGGAGTAAAACCCCTCCTTGGGGTGGGGGGGAAGGGGCCCATGGCCCGGGGGAAGCAACGATGTCATGGGTGACCTCTCCCCCTTCCCACTGCTCTCCGTGCTGCTAGGAAGCACAGGCGCAGCCTCTGCAGCTTTACCCGTCCTCAGAGCTTTCGTTTCCCTAGAAACAAGTCTTTCAACCCATTTACAGCCTCTAGCAATCTCGTGAGAATGGCATACACATTCGTCTAAAAACGGGATTTAAAAATCAACATTACTTTCTCATAGGTAGCTAAATCCTCTGGGATGCGGTAAAAATTTACCCTTGAAAGTCCCTAACATTACAACAGGGAGCCAAGTACAGACAGATTTTGGGCCCACAGAAAACCTTGACTGGAATTACCCTCAGAAAAAATTGCCTTGCCCTCCTTAATGTCAGAACAAAACATGAGTCAGCAAAGACTTTAAAATGGCATCTTTGCAAAATGGAGAAGTCAGATTAATTCACCCTATAAATCAATAGAGCAAAATTAAGATGTTAAGACATAGCAAGAATTGTGAATGTCATTAATGACAGAACTGTATTGGCACAATCTGTTGTAGAAAAGGTCATGGTCACTACAGCCCTCATTTGACCCCAACTATGCACCCCTCTGATTGAAGGGGCACATAAATGCACTTTGTAGAACACCAAAAATAAAGTTAAAGATGAGTGATACTTAATGGGTTGGTTGTACGTGTGCGTGTGTGTGTATGTGCGCAATTAAAGATTTCCATGTAAAATGTACAACAGAGAAGATATATTTCAGATTTAAAATAAGAAAAGATATACATTATTCCCTCAGCATTCCAAATCTCCTCTGTGTTATACAAATCTTCCTCTTCTACTTTGCTGAATGGTCCTCAGGAATGTCTTGTTCATCTTTGACTCTCCTACTCGGTCAAATTCAGGGCCATGGATACAGAAAGTATTCAATAAAGATTGAATAATTGAGTCACTTTGGCCAATTTCCAGGTAATAAAAAGACACATATTTCTATAGCACAGCTTGGATCGAATTGATGGAGACCCTGCTTTAAGTCTTGTCAACTACCAGAACTCCTTGTCTAAGGCACAGGCTTGGGAGGGCTGGAACTGGAATAGGAGCTCCTCAGGGTCTTGGGTTTACCTTTAAAATCTCAATTTGGCTTCAAAGATCACATTTTACACAAAAATAAGAGATCATATAGATGAATTATATGGTATATGAATTATATATCTCAAAAAAGCTTTTAAAAACCAATAGATGAAACATAGATTATATGATTAAAATACATCTCATTTCATATTATCTAATATTATCATCTGGCTTTTTGAAGGGAAAAATAATATTCACTCATTCACTTAAAAACCAACTTTTTTTCAAGGAGCCTGCCATGGAAAATCACACAGAGACTTTACTTACCTGTCATCTGCTCTCTGAGGTGGGGATTATTAACCCACGATCAGTCCCATTTAAGAAGGAGAAAACTAAGTTTCCAAGAGGTGAAGTATCAGGGCTAGTATGATGTACAGTCAGTTTTCAAAACCAAATTTATCTGACTCCAAACAAATATATTTAAAATCTTGCATATTTTTTTTCATTCATTAACAAGGTCTCTGGGGAATATGAGGTGTGTTGGACATAATATGATCTTCAGAATCAGGATTTTCTTAGAAAGGTCACTTAGCTTAAAACATTTAATAAAAGCATCAATACATAATACTAGGGAGATGTTTGCATATTATGAAAAACTGATAAAGGTTGGATTTAATTTATGTTTTAAGCTTAAAAACCTAACAAATTAACATCTTCATGCTCAAAGTAAATGATTATCTAATTTATCAGTTAAGGTTCTGTTTATATAGGGGTGTTAGATTTGGCAAATAAAAATATGCCTAGTTAAGTTTGAATTTCAAATAAATAACAAATAATTTTTTTAGTATGTGTTGATTTTATGCAATATTTCCTGTAATATATCTGGTAACCCTATTAGGACTTTTTTTAGTGATTAAATTTATTGTTGCATTAAAAACAAGGAGAAAGGGCTAAACCTTTATTACTATGTAAATTAATGCACAAATTCCAAATACTTGAGAAACTCAAATACATATGCCTCTCTAGCATTTACTACTTGAATGAAATAAGGAGATCTATGAAGTTCAAGTGATCACCCATATTATTTGGGTGTCTTTGACTTTTTAAAAAATGTTATAGTTTCAGGACACATGAAAAGGGGTATGTGGCTTGCAGAGCCCACATTTTCTAATTTTCTAATCCAGAGGAGAATGTTTAAATCAAATGTTTGTCTGGATTCAATGTTACTTTAACGAGACCATAGATGACCTCTTCCAAAAGCAAGAACCCAGGTGGCTTGGGTTTCATGTCACCATAAAATCTAAGTGCCCTGAGAGTGGACACCGAGGCACAGGGACCAGAGCTCAGGGTTTGGAGGCTGAGGACTCATCGAGGTTCAGCAAGAAAAGCGAACTTGGATATCATCTACTCAACCTCCCCTTTTGACAAATAAGAAATAGCTGGGGCTCTCCTCTCTCTTTATTTTACACTTTATAATCTGCAAAATGTCATTGCCTATTCCGCAAGATTATTGTGGGAATGATAACAGACGACAGGGTGTGAAAGCACATCATTTGACCAAATAATTGTTAGAAACCAAGGATAGCCCCAGAGACTGGCTCTATTAATTATGTACCCAGCACTCGAAGGAAACTTAAGGAGTATCTACTTCATACCTCTTACTCAGAGATGAAGTTAGTGACTTTCCAGTCAGCGCAAAGAGAAGCCGAAGCGGAGCTAGCATCCCCCCCTTAATTCCCACCCAGTGCTTCTGCCAATTTCATCCCATTCCCCCTTGGGCATATGCACAGTGGCTCCATCCTAGGTGTCAAAGTCGGACACGATGTGCTGAGCGTAGAACTTAAGGAAAGAAAAGGTGGTGAGGAGAAAGGAGAAAAGCACATAAAATAGAAACTAAAATAGTAACAGGATTGGCCATACAAAAAGCAAATTGCTCCCCAGGTTGTCCAAGATCAGAATAGCAATGGGAATTGTCCTGGTTTCCAATTCGGCAGACTTTGCATCAGTCACATTTAGCGGTCCTCACTTGAGCGCATGGCAGGACAGCCAATATCCTCATCACTTCTGCCATCACAAAGGATTTAGTAGGAGCTGTGCAAAGAGAGTTGGATTTCCCTTCTCCAGTAGAACGCTCTTGTGGCAACATGGCAATGGTGTTACTTTTATAGGTAAGAGATCCTTAGCAAGTACTGAATATATGTTTTATATTTAATTAGAGCTTGTTAAGATGCCCTTGGTCAAAAGATCATTTCAGAATTCCTTCCTTTAGGAAAATGGAATGAGAAACCACTTTAGCCTTCTTCCCCAGGGATGGGGGAATAGGAAGGTGGGGAGACTGAATGGAAAAAGTCAAAACTCCTGCTAAATAGCAATGTTGTGCCAAGTTCTGGGCTGGTGCGTTCATTTGCATTACCTCATTCCAACCCCATGACAGCTATGTGAAAAACAACGGCCAACATCTCTAGCATAGGAAGGAACTGAGACTCTCAGAAGTCAAGTGAGTTTTCAGTGGTTGCAGAACTAAGATGTGGCAGCGCTGAGTGAGATTAGAACCTAAAGCTTCTGAGAACAAATCCAGCATAAAGCAACATTACGCTAGATGCTTCTGATGTAAGCGAACCTTGGTCTCAAAAAGCTATGATCAGGCGTTTCTTCCTATCATGGGAAGAATAGAAAACACCACCTTAATCATGGAAAGGATCTTACAAAACAAGCAAGATACAAGGAAAAGATGGGAATATGGAACATCCGGCTTGGTATGTTTGAAAGGGAGACTGAAGGAGCCTCAATCTCCAGAGAGAAGAAGAGGGAAATTGGCCAGCCCAAAAGCCAGAGAAGGTAAGGAGAGGACGAAGTAAGACTTTGCATCAGGGTTGGGGAAAGAAAGCTGGTTAGTCATAAGCAAAACCACTGGGACATCATAATCCTGCATTAACCTGGTATGTACCTGGTTATCAATGGGTAACTTTAAAAAACAATATAGGAGATTCACTTTTCAAATGACAAAATGGGATTAGGTGTCAATTATTTTTTATTTGCATTGGTAGAGAAATAAAGAGCTTCCTTTCCACATAACTTCAGGGCAGCTCGTGCTTGGGAAACACATGGAATTAACCTGCATTCACTTTTACTTACACAGAGCAGGCTACAATTAAAACCAAAACAATTAGGATGTTAGAAACAAATCCAGCAGTCTTTACTGAGGTAGTAACCTTGTTTTAAGGAAGAGAACAAGACAGAGATTCTTGTTAAAACTGGGATATACTCTTTCTAAGAATGTAATGATCACTTATTAGAATGAAATTGAATAACGAAGTAAAAGGCTTTTAACTAAAAGCAGGATTTTCAAATATCATTGTATAAGAGAACTATAATATGTGGAATCATTTAAGGGCGTGCTGTTTGAAATGAGGACAATCACCATAAATTAAACTATAAGCCACTTTGAGAATCCCGCTTTCTTATTCAACAGGGCTCTTAACCCCACACTCGGTATTACAGCAAGAGATCCATTGTGACCAAACCCTGCAACCGAGGGTGGACATTAAAATGACAAAGCCGGGTGGTGCGAGCATTTCGACCACAGCGGATCTCTCTAGTAACACTGTGACTGGCGCCTCACCCACAAACCCGCAGGCTGCTAGCCCAAACTGTACATTTTTTTTAAAAGAACCCATTACTCACAGCGGCAGGACGCGTTAGAGAAGATTCTCCATCGTCTATGGAAGGCGGGTATCTTAGGAAAGTGGTCAATGATCTCCGCGAACAACTGCAGAGGACTGAGCGACCTGGTTCCAGCCCAGCTCTCAGAGGGCTGAATAACCAATCAAACCGCGGGCCGGCCGATTTCCATAAGCTTCTTCCCTTTCCCTTCCCGTTAGTTATCCAGCTGGATCCTCAGATACTTACCGGTAGCTGTCAGCGTCCATCTGGGCGCCTTTGTTTTCCTTTTGTCACATCAGCAGCTTCCATCGTGACTGCCACCGCAGCCGCACTGGCTCCGGACTGGATGCCGATGCCGCAGTCAGCAGCAACCCCCCCCCCACCCCCGCCACCCCCAGCAGCCTTTTTTTTTTTCTTTTCTTTTTAAAGAGATAGGACCATCATCAACCTTAGGTTTTAATAACGCTGCAGAATGAGCATGTTTGCTCAAGTGGTGCAAAATGACAGCAAGTGCGGTTTCTATTCTCACCAAATTGCAAAGATGAATTTCAGGACGTAGGCATGGTAACAAAAGACTGGCTCTGTTAAACACTAGCCGTGTGACCTTAGACAAGTCACTCGTGGGTCTCATTTTAGTTCATGGAAAATGAGGAGTTGTGACCAGGCGATGATCAGTCTGGAAATCCTATCATTAACTACAATTAAATACAAGGACATCAGCCACATACTCACTGATAAAATACAGTAATACACTATGTGTGCATTGCAGGTTACTGCTCACAAAGTGCTTTTTGTATTTTGTTTGGATTTGGGTATGAAGTTCCACGGTTTAAAAGAAAAAACATTTACCCAAAATGTTTTGTAAATTGTGAAATGTTGTACAGCTGTAAAATGTTCTAAGTTTTCATTGTTACTGTCAGTTTAGTAATAATAATATTTTAACAATAAATTAAATAGAGTTCTACCTTCTTGAAGCTTCCTACACATGGGGGATGTGAAATACCAAGAGTCTAGTTTCATAAATAGCTTTTCCCCTGGTGCCCTTGGGTGCGCCATATTCCTCATAGCCTCCTAGTAGGCCTGCCTACGCCAATAGAAACCTAGAACGGAGGCTTATCTAGAACTACTTCTAGAATTTGAAGCTCCTGGTTGCTTTATGAGCAAAATACCTAACTCAGCTCTGCCAACTCCAGACCTGAAAAGGCTAAACTGTTCTCTCCTGGGAAGACCAACGCGGGCCCAGAATGTCAGCAACCACTCCAGAAGCCGTGCACCTGCCTCTCTGTAGCGTGGGCCTCCGTGGGGCTGCCACTTAAAACACCAAATCTAATTTCCTTTGTGTCCTAGATGCACAGATTCAGATACATATATCGTCCTAAGAAATAGTAGGGAAATGTCTTATTCTGATAAAATCAACAAGGGAGAAATAATGTCCTGAGGACCTTCTATCTGATCCTCACCAAGGGGAGGCCACCAGCAGTCTGGCCCTTAGTGGTATGCCCCCATGGGGGTGAGCTTTGCCCCTCCAGAGGTGCCTCAATTCTAACAGCACCACTTTGGTCGTCACCACATTAATAAAGCCCACATCTATGGAGCGCTGGCGCCCGGGTAGGCACAGGGGACTGAGAGACGAATCTTCGGTTTCTTCTTCACACAACATGATCATCTACATACTTACAACTTTGAACCATTAGGCCCCCAGGGGGGTAGATGTTATAAACTGTAAGTATTTATAATAACCCATTCGTCCACCTTCCAAGGAAAATGGGTTCCTAATGAGATCATTTTGTTTCGTTCAGTGTAGCCGTGCTGGGAGGCAGGCAGCAGAAACAAAACAATAATGACAGTACAGTTTTGTGCTAATTAGACGGAAAATGTGTGTTTATTTCAGAAAATACGAGAAATATAACTCATAATCCTACCGTGTGAAATAGCTGTTTTTTATCTTTTGATATATTTGCTATTTGCATACATATGATATATATATATAAGTTTTATATCTGGTTTTCCCACTTAACATTATATTGAAAATATTTTCCTCCTCCATTCTTTGAAGACCTACTTTTTAATTATACTGTAGTGTATTCAACCAGTTCCCTACTGTTGGTCCTTTAGATTGACATATATTATTTTCAGGAAGGTTATACTGTTTTGCCCACCTACACACACCACATGAAAGTGCCCCAGTGACATACTGGTTATGTAGAAATGGCCAAATGACACAGAGGTTAACACGTCGGTTCCTTCCTGAGCAGGGCACATGGCATGCCTTTGTGCTGTTACAGGGATTTGCACACATGCACATGTGGCTCCATGAGAAGCGCAGCCCTTGGCCTCACCACTGTCCAGACACACTAGCTCACTCAAGAAGCCGTACGGGGTCACTTCAATCTGTGGTACTATTTATGGTTTTGAAAATTGTTGTCAAAAGGTTTAGACTTTGTCCTAAAAATGATCAGAAACCAAAGGTTTCTAGATAATCAGTGAATCACAAATCTTCCATGTTCTGGTAAAAGATTGACTGTTGAGGTACACAGTTTAGATGTCAGCACATCGTTCCTCACCTTAAGCTGACCCTAGCAAATGGTGTGAGAGAGTATTATCTAGTATGTCCCTTGCCCAGAACAAGAAGACTTAGCCACTTTTCTAGAGCTTTTAAAGAGCTGGCACCACCAGCTCTCTGGCTTCTTCTCCTGGATGACTCCCAGCCATGGCTCTCGCCAGGGCCCACTCTTCCTTTCCAGCCTCATCGTGTAGCCTGGAGTCCACGTGGCCTTTGTGACCCTCTTCCATAAAGCTTAAGAGTGTCAGATATTTATCAACTCAGAAATGGCCATTGTTCAACCGGAACAACGTCAGCTCAATCTCAGCATCTACTCATAATTCTAGAGTCTTAGCCTTAATATCTTCATCAGTTTCTGTAACTCCCTGTGTTTAATGCCAGAACTCTCTCAATCACAACAACTGCTTTTAGCAGTTTAGTAGGGCAGCCATGGATTCGACCCCTATAAACCAGTAAATGTCTAGGCAGAAAGCACCTGCGCTTCTTGACCTTCAGTTTCTCCTTCTGTGAAAGGGCGATATTACCTCCCAATACAGGAATACACAGTTCTTGGCATATAATAGGTATTCAAATTATAGAAGTTATTTGTTTTTTTACAATATATTTTCTGCTTTAAGTCTCTTTCCCCATTTGAGAAGTATAATTTTAAAGGTGAGAGCCAGACACTTGCCCTTAAAAGCCGCCTATATAACCTCAACTCAAGACTTTCAGAAAATCCCCAGCTACTTCTAAATGACATGGCTTAAGAAGGACATGTAGACTCTGAGTTATGAAAATATGGAAGGCAGAAGGTAACAACTCTCAGAACTATGACCTCATAATCATTGTGCCTCCTCACTAAAACCAAACAGGCAAGTAAAGGCATCTGCCATGTTGTAGATTTTTTTTAAATCCCCCACAGCGTCTAGCCCAGGGTGGGCATGTAGTAGGTGTGTGGCCAATGTTAGCTAACAGAAAACTTGGGGCAGAGGCCCCACTTCTTCCTTGAGCCAGAGGCCCCACTTCTTCCTTGGGCCAACTTTGTTTCCATATCCTGCTGTCATATTTAGGGGACCAGAATATGCCTCCCTAAAATATGTTATTTTGGCTTAAGGATTATTTTGCACTGAAAACAGTTGAGAAACAGCAGAAGAAAGCTCTTTATCCTCCTCTTAATCATCAGAGAGGAACACAGATATGTTATATACATAACATATCTTGCTAAAACCACCCTTATATGTCATTAGTGTCCCCATATAGTTTCCACAGTTTGCCACCCCTGAAAGCCTAAATCCTTTCTCCATTTTCTTGTCCCATCTCTCCAAACGTATTGTTCTTTGTGAAGACCCTATACAGAGCCCCAAGTTCTAACCACCCCTTTGAGTTACTGCTCATCGTTGAGTTCCTCTGGTGTTAATGCACATTGCACACATTATTAAAATGTGTGTGTTTCTCTCTTGTTAATCTGTATTTTGTCAGTTCAGTTTCCAGAGTCCTGTCTGCAGAACATAGAAGAATAGAAGAAAAGGGTTTCCTTTTCCCTTGCCTACAGTTATAGACTTTCCACTGGTTCTCTGAACTATTTTCTAAGAAGTCAGTCCCTAGACCTTAGCTCTGACAACATTCCCTGCAGTTTTCCAGTCCTGTGGTGTTCCGAAAAAAGCAGGCTTCCTGAGGCACAGACACGTAGACCAACATCTCACTACACAGCTTCCTTGCAAGTAGCTTTCTGTACAAAGGCAAGGTGGTGTTCCTCTGTCTTTGCTTCACAATGTAACAACATTACAATGGAGCATTGCAGACTGGGTACATCTTAATTACAAGGTACCCAATTCTGCCACAGGATGCAGTGTAGGCAAAATAACAATCAATTTTTAAGATGATGCTTAAAGTCATCCTGGTCACCTAAGAAAAAAAATTGCACACCAGTTTACAGGATCATCAACTCACTATAAAAGGAATACTGTCATCAATAACCTAAACCTCACTGAGACCACAAAACAGAGTCTAAACAGGTAGGAGTTGTCTCAGATGAGCCTCCCTGCTCCCACATTTTAAAAAGGGACTCCTGGGTGGCTCAGTTGATTAAGCATCTGCTTTCAGCTCAGGTCATCATCCCAGGGTCCTGCCTTGGGCTCTCTGTTCAGCAGGGAGCCTGCTTCTCCCTCTCCCTCTGCCTGCCACTCCCCCTGCTTGTGCTCTCTCTCTCTGACAAATAAATAAAATCTTTAAAAAAAAAAAAAGAAAAAAGAAAACCTTGGGGGCGCCTGGGTGTCTCAATCAGTTACGTATCTGCCTTTGGCTCAGGTCCTGATCTTAGGGTCCTGGGATAGAGCTCCACATCCATCTGGGCTCCCTGCTGAGCAGGGAGCCTGCTTCTCCCTCTCCCTCTGCCCCTTCCCCTGTTCATGCTCCCTCTGTCTCTCTCAAACACATAAATAAAATCTTAAAAAAAAAAAAAGAAAGAAAACCTTGAAAACCATCGCGTTTAAAATATGTAAAAATCAACCATCCTACCATTCAGGGAAAAAAAAACAACACTTGGTATTTTAGTGGATATAAATCATTCCACATTATTTCCTGTAACAATTTATTAATTTATCTCGTGGCTTCTATGTACAAGGCCCTTTCCACCTGCTACAGTAATAAGTGGCAGAAAACCAGGCAGGGGCCCTTCTATGAGGAGCTTACACTGCAATGGGGAGAGACCAAATAGACACAAACACGTAGATGCCAAGCGGTTAAATAAATGTTACCAAGGAAATTAAGTACCGTAGGAGGGTAGTAATGGCGTTGGAGAGGTGCTACTTTATTTTTTTAAAAGATTTTATTTATTTATTTGAGAGAGAGAAAGTGTGTACAAGTGGGGCGGCAGAAGGAGAGGGAGAAGCAGACTTCCCTCTGAGCAGGAAGCCCGATGAGCAGTTCTCTCCCAGAACTGCGGGATCACAACCCAACCTGAAGGAAGATGCTTATCCAACTGAGCCACCCAAGGAACCCTAGAGAGGTGCTACTTTTGACAGAGAAGGAATCCAATCAAAAGTTATGTACCAGACATTCATTATATGCCAGAGTTAGGAAATATAGAATTTTCAGGTTTAGAACCAGAGCTACAATTCTTAATTTAATAAGATTAAAGTCAATAATAACTAAAGGAAAACATTTTAAAAAAGATAGCCACTCAACATATTCATATATTTTTCTTTTTTTTCTTTGATACTCAAAGTTAGTTTATTTTTAATTGCACAAGTCACATATAATTGCATTCTTCTTGGACATGATCTGAACACTGCAGCTAAAATGAATTTTCCATTATAGCTAGCCCATCCTCCATTTCTCATCTCAGAATAAGTAACCATTATCATATGTCTCCTTCCAGAGTGAATCTTTCAATCATGCATGCTCATACAGACATAGCAACAGATTGTATCGAATCTTCAGAAGAACATAAATTATACTTTCCTTCCAGCAACTTGCTTTTTGCACCTAATAATCTATCAGTAAATATTCTGTTTCCATGCCAGTACCCTGATCTTTCTATCAAATGCTATTCCATAGTTAGGACACATCACAGTGTATTTAACTCTTCCATTTTGATAGATATTAAAGTGACTTCCAATTTGCATTATTAAAAAATAAAACTACTTGCCTCTTTGTGTCCATGGGACTCAGGCAGGTAAGATGCAGCAGAATTGCTGGATCATAGAATCTAAATTTTAGACAGTTGGTTAGTTATTTTAAAGAGAGAGAAAGTGCAACAGGGAAGGGCAGAGGGAGAGAGAGAATTTTAAGCAGTCTCCACACCCAGCATGGAGCCCAACTAGGGACTTGATCTCACAACCTTGAGATCATGACCCTGAGATCATGACCTGAGCCAAAATCAAGAGTCGATGCTTTACCGACTGAGCCACCCAGGCGCCCCTAAATTTTAATATATACTGTCTAATGACTCTAGCATTTACAGTGCTTGTACTGGAGGCGCCTGGGTGGTTCAGTCAGTTAAGCATCTGCCTTCGGCTCAGGTCATGATCTCAGGGTTCTGGGATCGAGCCCCTCGACAGGCTCCCTGCTCAGCAGGAGAGTCTGCTTCTCCCTCTCTCTCTGACCCTCCCCCTGCTTGTGTGCACGCTCTCTCTCTCTCAAATAAATAAAATCTTTAAATAAAAAAATAAAGTGCTTGTATTGGTTCAAACTTCCACCAGAGATGTACCCTTTGCAAAATTAAAGCCACAATATACTTACCATTTAAGACCGTATTTTCGCCCACATAACAAAACACCATGAACAATTTTCTATGTATTTAAGTGTCTTTTTAAAAGATAATTTTTAATGGAGGTGTTTTATTCTATCTCAGTTGTGTTAAACTGCTTTTTTTTCTAAATTGATTTCCCTACTGTTGGATATTCCAGATATATCCAATTGCAGCTATAATCTTCATATGCTTTTGGGATCATTTCTTTATGCCACATTCTTTGAAGTTAATAATGGGCCAGAGAGGATGGACATGTTTAAAGCGTCTTACATAAGACTTGCCAAATTGCCCTCCAGAAGACTTCACCAGTTGATATTCCCACCAGAAGGTAAGAGTAACCACAGGTACGTTTGATGAGCCTCCCAGGTGTCCATCAGGATTTACATGGTACGAGAAATCACAAAGGACTTTATGAAGGTGCTGAACTGCTCACTATGGACGGGTCCCGCACCACAATATGGGACAATGTGGCAGAATGGGTGAGTGAATGTGCTATCTATGGTCAAGCCCTGGCTTCCCAATGCCCACTGTGGGCCCTAGAAACACGACTTGATGTCTTCATGCCTCAGCTTCTTCGAGGGTAAAATAGGAATGTTAATAACACCCTCGTGGGCATTTGTGTGGAATAAATGAACCTATGTATACAAAGCTTTTAGCACAGCATCTGATTCAGCTGTCTCATAAATATTAGCAAGAAATTATTACAGCTTTGCTGTTTTCCATAGTGTCCAATGCCTGCAGTATAAAGTCCAGTATTCATTTGTTCAACATGCTTATTGAGTAATTCCTATGAATCAGACAGGGATAAATAAGTATCCTTGCCCATGTGACAAATCTATTTGAAAATTTATTAGGAAGAATATCCACTACAAGAAACACTGTCTCTTGTGAACAATAGCAATTATATACACATGCATTTGCCTTCTTGCCTTTGTTCTTGGGAAGTTCAGAGCAAAATTTAATGCTCTATTATGATAATACTGATACTATTGGTCTATTGATTTAGTATATTGATTTATTTCTCATTCTGATACTTTTCTCATTTTACGTTTCATGATCATTGGCCTTGCTTGGAGTAGCTTTTATATAGATATATAACTGTATACTTAAACACCTGTACATTCTAAGTTATGAAAAAGGAAACTTTTTTTTTTAAGATTTTATTTATTTATTTGAGAGACTGAATGAGAGAGAGAAAGAGCACATGAGAGCGGGGAGGGTCAGAGGGAGAAGCAGACTCCTTGCTGAGCAGGGAGCCCGATGCGGGACTCGATCCCGGGACTCCAGGATCATGACCTGAGCCGAAGGCAGTTGCTTAACCAACTGAGCCACCCAGGCACCCAGGAAACTTTTCATTTAAACAGCTATAGAGCTTTCAGAAAAAGGACCAAAAGCAGAAAGTATAACAAAGCACAAACAACAAAGAATTCTAAATAAAAGGAGCCAGAACTGATTTTTGTGATGGGTATCTATATACTTTTAGAAAAGACAAAAAAAACGGGTTGGGGGGCTTGAAACTCCTGACCTTTGGTTTCCTGGGCACCTGAGCCAGTAAGTGGTGGAAACTGATTTAAGCAGGAACGGAAACTCACATTCATTTTGTATCTGCAGAGTTCCAGGCACTACGTTGGTTAATCTAATGCTTGGTCTTCACAAAAGTAGTCCTTCGGGGTAGGTATTATTCCCCAACTAGATGAAGAAGCTGATGTCTAGAGTGATTCATGCCCAGGTCTCTGAAATTGCCACCCCCATTCTCAGTAAGGAGCAACATGCTGGCATCTCCTGTCACACCCGGGGCTGGGCAAGAAGAAAGACAGGGGCAGGGCTCTCTTCAAGAGGCCTAAAGCTGAGTAATCCTCTTACTGGCTTAAAAGAAGTAGGATGTGTAATATTTTTTTTATATAAGGAATATGGACAAATATAGATATCATATCAGAATATAGTAATATGAGACATAAAGATGTACATGCTGTGGTCCATAAAACCCACAGCTAGAATTTATCCTGATTAATTTAACAAAACTAAACTCTATAGACATAAAGATATTTTTGCAGCATTATCTGTATTCGGTACAGCTTAAATGAACATAGAGTAAATTACGAAATGATATAGTCATCAAAATAAAATAAAAAGAGAACCTAGGAAAAGCTACATAACTTACAGTTCCCACTACCAAATAAAAACATCGGTTGCCTTGCTCAAAATTATTAAGAATTTCAAGATGTTGACCACAGATCATTAAACCAGGTCCAGGGCCCTTCTGAGCATGGGATCCAGTGGGACTTCATGAAGCTGACCTTGATAGAAACACAGAAAATGTTTACAATATGTTACACAGGAAACAAAATACGTGAAGCAAATGCACCACAACTGTAATTGCATAGAACATATATGCACATGCAAAAAGTTTGGGAATTAACTCCCCTGACAGTTGCCCTGCCATCCTCACTCAGGTCAGCCCAGTGTGGCCTGGGGTCCCAGGAAGAGACGGCATGCCAGTGCCATTCCACATATGGCTGCCAGGTTTGTGACCATAATTGTCCTGAGCTATCTTAGTCATCAGGAGCCTACCTAGTCCAGGTTCTTATCTGAAATGCTACCTGAAGAATTCTTTTCACTCATGTCCAGTAACACAACAACCAAAAAATTGGTTGAGAATGGTTAGGCACAAACTATAAAATCAACAAAGCTGATTTATAAGATATAAACTTAAAATACCTCAAGAAAATGTCTCAGTCCTGGTCCTGATCCTCCTGGAGCGGTGTTGTCAAGTGATCCTCATGAGTGAGTCTCATGCAGTTTTTTGCCTTGTACCACCTGTGTCCAGGCTTCCCTGGGCCTTTATGTTCACCACAAAGCTTTGGCCCCATGGCGTCTGCAGGGGGACAAAGCTAACCAGTAGAGGGTATGGTGATGGGTCCCTGACCGGGTGAGCTCGTGTGCAGACCTGCTGCCACTCACAGGATGTGAACAGGGCCTGGGAGCCTGTCGGGCCACTTACCCAGAACATTCACCAAGAACGAGCAGAGCCAGGGAGGAAAACCAAACACATGGTCTGTTGGGAGGGTCGTAAAACAAGACTGAATTGTGCGTGAGACTCTGGGGGCACATATTTTTGCCAGGCAGCAAGGCTAGTACCCTGGGGGTTCATTGAACAAAGTCTTCAATACAGGGTGAGAGGGGTCAGTATTTCAGACCAGACCAGCCATCCCCAGAACATTCTGCAGGACTGCTTTCTCCTCAGATGTTGACCATTCCATGCTTTAAGAGCCTGAAAAAATAGGAACTGCCAATAGCTACACAGTTGGAGACTGATTTGGACTTTGAAGGCGATTTAATTTTTACCACATGACATTTCACAAGGTGAACGCAACACAACCAAGTGTGTGGACCCAGCCCAGCTGCTTCCTAACAGCCGACAGTGTGCTCACTGCTCTGTTCGAACACAAGTATTAACAAGCTTGCCCAATTTGCAAGAAAATGCAGAGCCAGAACTCAGACCCTCGTCTGGGCAAACTGCATCTACCAAAATCAGCCACCATCTCTGCCCATGGATTTTGGACACTGTGTCATCTCTCAGAGTCTCAAGCTCTTCTCTAATGATTGCTTATGGAATATTCCCATTCTCTTTCCCTGCAGTGGGCATCCATTGAAGTGAGACATTCAAGATCTATTTAGGCTCTCTGCCTTCCCACAGCTGACACCCGTCCAGCTGACTGAACTGAGTCACTACCCACTGAACGGCCATCATGGCCAACCAACTCCTTCCAGGCCTCTCTCTCCCACCATCCCCTCATCTGGCGTGTGCGTGGCCCTCCCTGGTAAAACTAGTTGGCTTTTCCTGGAAGCCACTTCCAGATTTCACAGCCACATCATAAACACTTACCACTTAATCCTTAGGTCTGCAGTCACATAAATTGGATTTTCCACCTTTCATTAAGAAACTGCTGACTCAGAAACAGGATAACTTTCTACTACACGCTTTTGAGAAATCTTCATATATCTCACTTTAGGCTTCTTCAGGCTCACCATTGTAGACTCATAGGATCGCAAATCTTTTAATATTATGGACATAAATATGAGGCACAGAGAGGTGGACTGACTTCCTATGGGTAACACAGTTAATAAGTATCGAATAATAAGTATCCAAAGAGCTCTAATTGGAACCTTTTCTTTTATTACTCCAGGATGCACCCCCCCACACACACACACACATACCTTCAATGTAGTGAAATAGACAATGTTAGGTATTCACTGTAAACTCTATTGTCCAGATTTACCTGAAACACTCTATAGTGTTCCTTTTGTTGTTGTTTTTAAACTGAGCTAACACTAAGTTTCCAATGTAGTTGCATACAGTTTTGCAAAATAGTTCTCACATTTTTTAAAATTTTCTCTGTATCCTTGTTTATCCCCTTGATTTGTTTCTAGTTATGTTATATCCTGGTAGTTTGGATGAGGTAAAAAATCAAGAATGACAAATGATCCTTGAAACCCACTTCTAAGCAAATGGTCACTGATGACACAGAATAATGATATGGGGCAAGATTTGGGGGCTGCAGAATATAAACGGTAGAAGGAGGACCAACTGCTTTCCTAGAGGCAGGACTGGGTGTTTTGTTTTTACATTGTTGATTTTCACTTGTTCATTGTTGATTTTCATCTTTTCCAATAAGGTCCTTGTTTTTCTCCCACCAAGCATTCTGAAAATTTGGCTATTTTCTGCCTTTAATTATATAAGCAGTTCTCTTTACAAACTTAAATGGCATACCTAAATGTCTGTTGCTCAATGTGTCAACTTTAAGATAGATGTCAACAGTAGACTATCCGCTGTAAGAAATGGATAAATTACATCACTTTCCCTCCATTTTTCAGGAAAATGGTGTCCCTGCTGTGTGGGGGGGGGGGGGGGAGAGGAGGAAGCAGAGGATTTAGTGATCCCTGAGGGCCTCTCCTCCCATTGATTGCAAAATCAAAAAGGGTGATGACTCTTATCCTACACATGCAGGCTCAGATCCCTCAAAAACAAAGGTTTGAATAACTCCAAGGAGGAAAGAACCCCAGCTGTCGAGGAGGTGCTGGCTAAAGACAAAGAATCCAGACTAAGCAGCAAAGAAGGAAACTCTTAAATACAAGTTAGAGCCTCAGGACCAATCACAGAAACAGGGACTATAACCTCTACCCATATTTAGTATTAACACATAGGATACTGGTAGTAATGGACCTTACAATTAAATCCACAAGTGGCAGATCATAAAACAAGTTTAAGAGAACTTATAAAAGAAAGTATACCAGCCAGACATACAGGACCTGGGTCTGAGTGAATATATGAAAGAGTTTGGTTTGTCTCCCTTTACAAAAGGTGTGTCATTCTGGTCCTATGACCGATAATAGCATTATATAAGGAGAAAACGTTTCTTTTTGTGAACAGTACATATGGAACCTCCAAGCACACTCTTTCACATGCTGCTGGCTGGAGCCTCAGGTCCTGCCCACAGAGACCTCTCCATAAGGCTGTTTGGGGGTCCCTACCTTCTCCCAGAATAAGCAATCCAAGAAAAGGAGGAAGCCACAATGCCCTCTGTGTCCTAATTTCAGAAGTGATACACCATCTTGATCAATCTACTCGTTGGACACAAGCCACCAAATACAGCCCACGTTAAGCAGAATGGCTCACCTTTTGAAGGGAGGCAGGTCCAAGAATTTGCGAACGTATTTCAAAACCACTGCACAGTATGTGATCTGGACATGCTTTCTTTCTTTTTATCCATCCAGCATCTCACCAACATGCCTACCTGGGGATGCGCTCACTGTGGGGAATACTTCCATCCTGAACCCTGGCAGCTAGGACATGGGCCCATCCCTAAACTCTGGCTATTCAAATCTATGCTCTGGGATTTGAGCCTTGAGGGAGTGTTTCACAGACTTGGGGATCGTTGAGGAAGTGGTTTCCTGTGATGAAACCCTGGATCTTCCCCCCTACCCAGCTGTCCTTCCTTTGTCCCTGTCTGTTTTCTGAGTCTTCTCAACAGTGAAATGAGCTACCCAGTATCTTCCAATAATTTTATTTTCTGCCTGTTGGTCAAACTCAGCTGGTCTTGCTTGACACATGCTCTTAACAAATACAAATGTATTAAAGTCCCAGCAAAATAATCTACTCAGAGCCCCACCGGAGAACCAAGGGCAATGAAATGCCTCAACACACTTACCACTAGACCCTGTGTATATGTTTGTTTACTTGTATGTGTGCATATCCATCTGAATGCCAGCTCTATAAAAGACAGTCTTATCAGTTTTATATCTTTTGAAAAATAACTTTATATTTTGAACTCATTTATGAATCGCAAGAAGCTGCAAAAAAAAAGTGGTAGAGAGAATTCCTGTGTACACTTCATCAGCTTCCCAAATGATAACATCTGCGTAAGTGTAGTGCATACTCAAAATCAAGGAACATGGCATTATTATCATTGGTATTGTACTATCAACTCAAATGCAGATCTTTTTCTTCTCTTTTTAATTGAAGTATAATTAACATACAGTGTTATATCAGTTTCGGGTGTATAATATAGTGATCCAACAATCCTATACATTACTCTGTGCTCATCATGATAAGTGTACACTTAATCCCCTTCACCTATTTCACCCATCCCCCACACCCCTCCCTTCTGGTAACCATCAGTTTGTTCTCTGTACTTAAGACTCTGCTTTTGGGGATGCCTGGGTGGCTCAGTTGGTTAAGCATCTGCCTTCGGCTCAGGTCGTGATCCCAGGGGTCCTGGGAGTCTGCTTCTCCATCTGCCTGCCCCTCCCCCTGCTTGTGCTCTCTCTCTCTCTCTCTCTCTGTCAAATAAATAAAATCTTTAAAAAAAAAAGTCTGTTTTTTGTCTGCCTCTTTTTCCTTTGTTCATATGTTTTGTTTTTTAAATTGCACATATGAGTGAAATCATATGATATTTGTCTTTTTCTGACTTATTACCCTCTGTCTTTCTCTGACTTATACCCTCTAGATCCATCCATGTTGTTGCAAACGGCAAGATTTCATTCTTTTTTATGGCTGAGCAGTATTCCATATATACTACATGAAAAGATGCTCAATATCACTCATCATCAGAGAAATGCAAATCAAAACCACAATGAGATATCACCTTACATCTGTCAGAATGGCTAGAATCAAGAAGACTGGAAAACCCAGTGTTGCTGAGGATGTGGTGAAAAAGGAACCCTGGGCACTGTTGGTGAGAATGTAAATTGGTGCAGCCACAGTGGAGAACAGTACCGAGGCTCCTCAAAAAATTAAAAATACAATTACCATATGATCCAGCAATTCCATTACTGGGTATTTATTTACCTAAAGAAAATAAAAACAGTAATTTAAAAAGATATATGCACCCTATGTTTATTGCAGCATTATTTGCAATAGCCAAGATATGGAAGCAGCCCGTGTCCATCCATAGATGAATGGAAAAACAAGATGTGTTTTCATATCTTCAGGACCTGTTCATAGTGCTTAGCACATGGTAAACACCCAACCAATTCTTGCTGAATGAACAAATAGGTGAATAAGTGAATCAATTATAGCAGTACTTGGTGAAATTAAGTAGACACTTTTAATACCAAGTTGTAGGATGCAACCCCATATGAAGAAAGAGGAAGGGAAAAAAAGAAGGGGGGCAGGAGGGGTCATGGAATGTAAGGTGGTGGGGACAAGAAGTGAGATTTTTTGAGCAGCCTCCAAAGAAGTGATAAATTTTACGGATGTTTTCCTATTGGATGCACTGTGACGATCCCTTCAAAAAACCCTATAATAGGGGCACCTGGGTGGCTCAGTTGGTTAAGCAACTGCCTTCGGCTCAGGTCATGATCCTGGAGTCCCGGGATCGAGTCCCGCATCGGGCTCCCTGCTCGGCGGGGAGTCTGCTTTTCCCTCTGACCCTCCCCCTCTCATGTGCTCTCTCTCTCTCTCTCTCATTCTCTCTCTTTCAAATAAATAAATAAAATCTTTAAAAAAAAAACCCTACAATAATATTCTACATTATTCTTTGAAGTCATATTTGACTTCAAAGGCTTAGAAGTCATATTTGAATTTCATTTAAGCACATCCACAAATAGAGATGATCCTCAAGGCATTCCAGATATATTTGGAGTACGTTAACTTACTAACAATTCTTGACACCGTAACTTCATTGGAGAAGAATATAAAATGAAGGAGAGGGGACATGCAACATACACTGACTCACTGGACAGTTATGGACGGAAGTGGTGCAGGGCTGTAATGGAAGGAGAGGCCTGCCCCAGCTCATCCTCATGGGTGGAGGCCTGTGGGGGTAGCAGTAAGACACAAAGGGATCCCAAGAGACACGTAAAGACCGCAGATCACAATCGACTGTCACCCTATGACACTGGTGAAGTGAGCTGGGACCCACGAAAGAGCAGGGAAGAATTTGCAATTGGGAAGAACAGAAGGAAGTTAAAATTAGGTTCATTAAGTCATAGATATCAGATTCCATTCTTTTTACGATTGCAGACCCACCAGGAAATTATCCCAAACTGAAAACTGCATGAAGTGAGTTGAATGAGAGCCCCCCTCCCCCTGCAAAAAAAGCTGCATTCTCCAGAATCTGTGATTCAACCTTACTTGGAAAAGGGGTCTTACAGATATAATTTAAGATCTTGAGATGAGTTCACCCTGGATTATTTGGATGGACCCTAAATCCAATGACAAGTGTCCTTGCAAGAGACAGAAGAGGAGGTGACACAGACACAGAGGAAAAGTCCATGGGGAGATAAAAGCAAAGATGGGCATGATGATCTACAAGGAACAGCTGGAACCACCAGCAGGTAGAAGAGCAAGGAAGGATTCCCCTAGAGCCTTCGGCAGGGGCATGTCTCTGCTGACACCCGGATATGGAACTTCTGGCCTCCAAAACTTGTGGCCTTCACACGGCCTCCAAGTGAGAAAATAAATGTCTGTCACTTTAAGTCACAAAGTCTGCGGTAATTTGTGATGGCAGCCCTAGGAAACAAATACACGGCATGAGAACAAACATTGTCAGGTTTGAAAATGTGGGCTAGTAGAGCTTTCAAGACATTGAGTAATACCATCTGTATCAGTCAGGGTTCAACCAGTCCCGTAGGAGATAATGAGATCTGTTGGGACGAACTGGCTTGTGCAATCGTAGGGGCTGGCTAGGACAGTCCGAAACGTGGAGGGCAGGCTGGCGCCCTTGGCACACATGAATACGGCTGTCCTCAGGTTGACTTCTTCTTCCTCAGCTCAGCTCTTAAGGCCTTTTCCACGGAGTGCTCAAGGCCCACCCAGATTACCTAGGACAATACTCCCTTACTTAATGTCAGCTGACTTTGGACTTTATCACATCTACAAAATACCCTCAGAGCATCACCTAGATTGGTGTTTGGTTGAATAACTGGGGATGGTAGCCTCTTCACGTTGACACATAGGCAAAACCACCACACCTTCTCTGAGCTACTACTTCATGGGCCGTTGTGCTGGAAGTGTGTACCCTCAAGTTGGTCCCATGTTTTCTAGTCCAGAAGTGACCGCTCCCAACAACAGTTCTGACCATGACTCATCGTCCCCATAGCAGCAGACCTAGAATCCAATACAGAGCAAAACGTGGTTAAGGATAGAGATGGTCTGTCAAGAAACATCTGACAAAGCTGTAAATTGAAAAAATGAACGTAGAAATAATCTTCTGGTTCTTTTCACCTCCCACTAGAGTGGGCTTTTCAACTACAAAATGAAAAGGTCATTTTTCCGCTCTCACTTCCGCCTCGCGGGGAAAACAGTCTTGTGTAACTGATACCCTGGATCCACAGACAACATAACATTTTTATTTCAGAGCTAAAAATAAAGAGTTGTTGCCGGGAGGAAGGGGTCAGGTAGAGTCGACTCCTGCCAGGGTTCTCTGTGTAAAATTTAGACAAGAGGTTGCAAGTTGGCAGCAGTAAGTCTGGTGATGAGAGCCAAGCCAGCGAGGAAGGCAGACAGAAAACTGGGGACAGCCAGGCCCTGAATAGTGTCACTGAGCGCCCAGACCAGTGCCCACCACTGTCTACCCACAGATCGCTGCTTGTGTGGGAAAAACACTGAGATCTGCTTGGGACTTGCCGATTTCTGTGAGTTTTCTCTTATTTGCAGAACAAGAAATGTGGCTGATGGGACAAAAACAGTATTTCCACAAAATCTGTCCTGCCTGCTTCATCAGGTTATTATGTGAATTAAATTTGCTAATGCATCTATAAACAAGATACTAAAATAAGGCCTTTTAACATCGTGCCCAGCAGGTGACAACTGCCCAAGAAAGGTGTGCTTATTTGTCCTAAATGATACCACAACACACATGAAGCAAATGGCTTACTTGTGAGGTTTGCTGGAAAAAAAGCTTAGGAAATCAAAATATTTGGATTTTTTGATTCAGGAAAACAAGAGTAAATTGTATTTTTCACAAAGAGGAGAGAACGTTAATGTTTGTAAATTTCCAATTTGCATCTAAATATACATTTCCACTTAATGACAGATTTTGAAAGATTTTCAGCAAGTCAAGGAGATATCCACAATGCCACGCTAACTCATCTAACTTGAAAAAGGCATAAGTTACTTGTACCAGCTCATTTGCTGCCTCACTTTGTGTGGACCAGGAAGAAGCTATGATCCATGAAATATGGAAACTAGAAAAAAATTATATTATGCCCCTAGTGAACCTTGGAAGGTCATCAAAGACCACCTCTCTGCATCAGGCCAGCCAAAATCTAAACCACCCATGGGAGATGAGTGCTTGCCTAGCCCGTCATGTCACCTGCTCCCCATTAATCAGGATGACATCTGGAGTCAAACGTGCCCTCTTGAATTCTGGAAAGCATTCTGGTGCATGATGACGGCGTTTTTCCTTGGATCATGAAAGTGAAATGTATTTAGTCAAGCTGTAATAGCACACTATGCCCTCATGTCGACCTCAGAAAGTTGTCCCCATTTTAGAGGGGGCAGGCGAAATAGGTGAAGGGGTTTAAGAAGAGGATTGAACTTCTAGTTTTAAAATAAGTAAGTCATAGGGATGTAACGTACAGCATAGAGAATAGAGTTAATATTGTAATAACTTTGTGTGGTGTGACGATAACTAGATTTATTGGGGGAATCATTTCATAGTATATGAAAGTATGGAATCACTATGATGGACACCTGAAACTAATAGGATATTGTGTGTCAATTAGACTTCAGTTAAAAAATAAAATAAAATAAATAAGACATCTCAAAACCCCTCCCCCTAAACCTTTACTGGTTTGTAAAGAATGGTTTGCCATAATAAGCAAACACTTTCACTTTACCACTTTTAGAAAGATCAACATTAACTGGAGGGTTATCATAGTGGTTAAGCACAGACTGTTCCTCGATTGAATGTCCAACTTCATCACATAGCTGTGTGGTCTTTTGCAAGTTACATGGGGGGATATATCAAAGGGGATATATTAATCATGTTTTTTTTATTCTGTATATTTTATGATGCTTTCACATCTTGAGGTCCTTGCTGGCCAGGGGAGTGACTGCCCCTTTCCGGGGGGCTAGCTAATTTCTAGAGTTAGCAAGCAACTGGACTGAGAGCATGCCTTTCATATGCAAACCGACCAGTCCAAAGCCCATATTCCCAAGCACCTCTTTTATCTGACTCTCTCACACCAAGCCAGTACTTCCCTGGCCCTGTATCATTCAAGGGCCGGGTCCTGAAGAACAGGAGACCACCTCTATAAAGCAAGGCCCACCAAAATTATTCAAGGTGTCCAATCCTAAATCTGCTTAAACTTGACAACACTTCTTTACCCATTCCTTCTTGTTCTCATAGAAACCACACTAAAGACTCTGGGCCATGCTTTCTCCTTCATACTCCGCGTCTTGATGCTGGTACTTCTCTATGTGGCCCTATGTGGGCCACCTCCTCTTAGAAACTGTAAGGTATAAAACTTCTTCCAGTGTCATCCCTCTCTCTGTTGTCACTTGGTCACCTCTATAAATTAAGCCCTGGGTACAAATGAAACAGGATGATATTGAAGTTTCCCACCTCTAAAGCCAGTATGAACATCAAGCAACTGAATGCTTGTAAAGCATACAGAATAGCACTGGTGCTTTGTATGGCCATCATGGGTTAGCTGTTCCTAACTGGGCCATATTGCTCCCTGTCTTCCGATGGAGAGCCTGGCGTGGCTCCTCGCCACCAGTGCCCTGGCGAGGTTCCTCTCATTCCCTGTCTTGTGATTAGAGCCTCCCTGCTTCCAACACCATGTCTTGCTGCACTGTCCTCCTTCAAACATACCTCTTCTTTCTGTCTGATTTCCAGACTCCTAAAAGTGTGCTGTCTGGTAGACCAAGACCAAGAGTACAGAGACCTGGCCCAGGAACTCATGTCCTCCTCTGCCCAGTGCACACATCTGTCCCAACGCGCCCTGATGATTCAGTCATGCGCCTCTCCAAGGTATCAACAAAGGTGTGGAATATATTACTCCCCACAGTAACATTTTGAACATAATAGCCATAACAGCTCCTAACAATACCTATTAGTCTCCTATGAGCCAGTGGTTTTGTCCCTTTCCCTTAAATCTTACTCCTTAGTACAATTCTTGGATATAAGTATCAT